AAAAGATCTTGGAGACATTGAGTGATTGAGTCATTGTGGATCGTTCTCTGAAAACATCCACTCAATGTGCAGACGGCAGTCAAAAAAGCAAACAGAATGTTGGGAATCATTAAGAAAGGGATAGATAATAAACGAAAATATCATATTGCCTGTATATAAATCCATGGTACGCCCCATCTTGAATACTGCGTGCAGATGTGGTCGCCCCATCTCAAAAAAGATATATTGGAATTGGAAAAAGGTTCAGAAAAGGGCAACAAAAATGATTAGGCATATGGAACAGCTTCCATATGAGGAGAGATTAATAAGACTGGGATTTTTTAGCTTGGAAAAGAGATGACTAAAGAGGGGGGGATATGATATAGGTCTATAAAATCATGACTGGTGTGGAGAAAGTAAATAAGGAAGAGTTGTTTACTACTTCTCATAATACAAATGGGTCACAAATGAAATTAATAGGCAGCAAGTTTAAAACAAAAGGAAGTATTTCTTCACACAACGCACAGTCAACCTGTGGAACTCTTTGCTGGAGGATTTTGTGAAGGCCAAGGGTTAAAAAAAAATAGTTAAATTCATGGAGAATAGGTCTATCAATGGCTATTAGCCAGGATTGGCAGGGATGGTGTCCCTAGCCTCTTTTTGCCAGAAGCTGGGAATGGGAGACAGTGGATGGATCACTTGATGGTTACTTGTTCTGTTCATTCCCTCTGGGGCACCTGAAATTTGCCACTGTGAGAAGACAGGATACTGGGCTAGATGGACCTTTGGTCTGCTCCAGTATGGTCGTTCTTATTTTTTTAACAGTGTATTAAAGATAAAGAAGAAAAAACCATTAAAGCATTTGAAATGTAAAATATTAAATAAAGTTTTTGTTTTAAAACAATCCCTTATTCCCTTTCCCTTTAGCTGAAAAGAGTTTTTAGAAAGAAAACCTCTTTGTTTGACAGTTTTTTACATGGTATTAAAGATGGCAATAGCTATTGAGATGGCTTGGAGCCGCTGTTGCTGAGGTCTGATCCCTTTTCCTAGAAGACAAAACAAGACAAACGCATACCTGAGGGGATAGAAGTGAACCGCAAAGATAGGAAATGCAGCTTCTGTCTTTGATGTTGACTCACACTTGTAACCTTACTGCTGGAAAAACACAGACATGGCACATGGTCTTATTAGCCACTCCAAAATCTGTAAAAGTGTACCAGCATCGAGCTGTAAAGAGGGAGCTAAAAGTCATGCCCTCGGGTCACAGGCTCACAACAGTGTTGTAAAATATGCAGTCCTGGCCGGCTGAGCCAGATTCTTTTATTAGACAGAAGATGAAAAGAGAAGGATAGGAAAGAGAATTAATAAGGTGGTGAAGAAGAGGGTCATGCTGGGAGGGTGGGGGTGTGTGACCAAGTCACATCCCAGATGTTTTGGATTTAGCTAGAACCAGTGGAAGGGACAATGTCATCTGGGTCACTCTCTTGGCTTGGTCTGATCAGGATATTTCTCTGGATTAGGATAGCGATGGTACAGTGGTGTCATGCTGGATCTCAAGGTTCCAGGAGATGGTGGGGCCTGACAGTCATGATGAAGTCACTCCTTCCCCCACTTTCACTCAGTCAGTGTCTCAGTAGCCAGCTTTTCCATTAGTGTCTCTTCTTGAGGACCCCAAAAGGGAGTGATGGTCAGGATAACCACATCCCTTCATTATTTTGTTTACCACTTTCGCCTAGTTTTTGACACACCAGTTTTGGGTCACCAATTTTTCAGTCCCACTCTTTTCTTGTTCACCCGGCATGATCTTAACACAATCCTTGAGTTATATCAGTAGGGCTTTTTGTTTTGGGGGGGTGGGGGCAGGAACTAATTCAGTCTGTGTCTCGCTTTTGTATCTTATCCCATCAACATTTGTTGGTAAAGGTTATTGTGACATTTTATTAATGTTACTTTTTATAGTGGAGCTCACAATTAGGATAAATTTGTAGGCCCAATTATCACAATCGACCTGATGAAATTAACTCTAGGGTACTTACGAATCTAGCTAAAGCAATCACAGAACTATTAGTAATTATCTTTGAAAACTTATGGAGGACGGGTGAGATCCCAGAGGACTGGAGAAGGGCAAATGTAGTACCTATCTTTAAAATATATTTTCTATATGCATCCGAAGAAGTGGGCTGTAGTCCACGAAAGCTTATGCTCTAATAAATTTTTTAGTCTCTAAGGTGCCACAAGTATTCCTGTTCTTCTTTTTATCTTTAAAAAGGGGCTCAGAGAACCTGGGGAATTATAGAGCAGCCAGCCTAACTTTGATACCTGGAAAGATATTGGAATAAATTATTAAACAATTAATATGTAAGCACCTAGAGGATAATAGGACGATAAATTATAGTCAATACGGATTTGTCAAAAATGGCTCATACCAAACTAACCTAATTTCCTTCTTGGACAGGTTTACTGCCCTAATGGATAGGGGAAGCATTAAATGTGAGATCTTGATTTTTAGTAAAGCTTTTGACACAGTCCCACATGACATTCTCACATGCAAACTAGGAAAGTGTGGTCTAGATGAAATTACTATAAAGTGGGTGCACAACTGGTTGAAAAGCTGTGCTCAGAGTAGTTATCAATGATTCATTGTCAAGATGGGATGATATATCAAGTGGGGGTTCCTGCAGGAATCTGTCACGGATTCGGTGCTATTCAGTATTTTCATTAATTATTTGGATAATGTACTGAGAGTACACTTATAAAATATGCAGATGACACTGAGATGGGAGGGATTGCAAGCACTTCAGCAGACAGGAGTAGAATTCAAAACGACTTTGATAAATTGTACAATTAGTCTGAAATCAACAAGATGAAATTCAATAAAGACAAGTACAAAGTATTTCACTTAAGACGGAAAAATCAAATGCACAAATACAAAATGGGGAACAACTGGCTAGAGAACAGTACTTCTGAAAAGATCTTGAGATTATAGTGGATCACAAACTGAATGAGTCCGGAATGTGATGCAGGTGAGAAAAAGGCAAATATAGTTCTGGGGTGTATTAACAGGAATATAATGGTACGTAAGATGCAGGAGGTAAATGTTCTACTCCATTTGGCACTGGTGAGGTTTCGGCTGGACTACTGTGTCCAGTTTTGGGCATCACAGTTTAGGAAAGATGTGGAGAGAGTCCAAATTGGAGAAAGTCCAAAGGCAAGCTATTAAACTAGGTATATTTAATCTTGAGAAAAGAAGACTGAGGAAGGGCCTAATAACAGTTCCCAAATATGTTAAGGGCTTAGCAGATATATGTGGTGGCTGCTTTCCAACAGAGCCTGGCCACTTCCTGGTTTGGGATCCTTCCCCTTACCTAGTCAGAAGAAGGGAAATAGAGTCAGAAAGGGGCTGATGTCAGTTGTAGTCTTTTTCTTAGCTGATCCATCGTACATGGGATCAGTCCTGGAATTTGCCTCCTGCACAAGATTATGCAGAAAACTTTCTTTTCTCTGCCCAGTAGCAAGAGAGCAATGGAAAGTAGGCTGTTTAGTGCCCTTCTAGGGGAGCATTGATCTCAGTACCTTATTGTGCTGATCCATTCTTGTATCTGGCATCTGTATCTTATAGTTGGTTTGAATTACATGTTTTGGAATTGCTCTTAATGCCCACTGACCATCTTTACTGGAATACTCTGGTGTTTAAATATGAGGCTCTAAATGTTTAGCTTCTTTCATTATAGAATTTCTGTTTTTCTCTGATTCACCCACTGCTGTCTCTCCTTGCTTCCTTGTTGAACTTTAGCTTTCAGTTGTGATTTGTTCGGTCTCCTGTTCGTTAGCATCTGGGCTGAAGATGCACCCATCTCCATGGTTGAGTTTTAACACTTCAGTATGATTGAGTTCCTGTCCCTCTTTACTTGCTTTAGTTAAAATAAGTATGTTTATTGTTCAGGTAATCTATTTGGGGAAAATATGGATTGCATAAATTTTGTATGATATTCTAGTTCAGCGGTTCTCAAACTGTGGGTAGGGATCCCAAAGTGGGTTGCAACCCCATTTTAATGGGGTCGCTGGGACTGGCTTAGACTTGCTGAGGTCTGGGGCTGAAGCTTGAGCCCCGCCGCCCGGGGCTGAAACCCGAGGGCTTCAGCCTGGGATGGCGGGGCTCAGGTTACAGGCCCCCTGCCTGGAGCTGAAGCCCTTGGGCTTCTGCTTTGTTCCCCCTGTCCAGGGCAGTGGACTTGGGCTTTGTCCCCCCCGACCCAGGGCGGCGGAGCTCGGGCAGGCTCAGGCTTCTGTCTCCCCTCCTGGAGTCGTTTAGTAATTTTTGTTGTCAGAAAGGGGTTGTGGTGCAATGAAGTTTGAGACCCCCGGCTCTAGTTTTTTTAGAAGCAATGAAGAATATAGTGGCTTTCTGTTTTAGAAGAGTTTATCCCATCTTACCTGCCTAGCAAATAATATTTTAATGTGATTTATGATGACCTTAGTCATCACTGCCATAATTTCATTAGCTCAAAAAAAAAAATCCACTGCTTTTAGTAATCTGTTATCAGGTAGCTTCCCTTTACTAAATATTTATTTTGCATGTTTGTTATTAGCTGCTGGTTTGTTTATAGGATCCTGTTTGAAAAATAGTGATGCAAACTCAAATGGAACAAATACTGTTTGTTTTAAAAGTAATCCCAATAGTCCATTGATAAATTATTTGGTGTATTGGTTACTTTGTGATTACATAGATAGTGAGATACTGGCTTTGACATGTAAAACCTCGAGTGTCTTGGTACCTGCCTCTCTCTGCATGCAATACTGCCTCAGTTGTGATCAATAAAGGTGCTCAAGCTGGAATCTTCTCAGCTTCGGAGAAGAAGATACTGACAGGGCAGTTTCTGTGGGGCCCCTATCTTTGGAATTCATGCCTCTCTCGGCCTGAATTTGTTAGCCTTTGGGGCTTGCTTCAAGGCTCTTTTGTACACTCAGGCTTCTAAGGAAAGCATTTGAGGCTTAAGTTCACTTTGGGTTGTTTTTTTTTTTTTGCTATTTGGGTAAAGCTGCTGAATTTGTTGATTCTTGTATGAATATTGCTATCAGAAAATTACATAAGTGTGTAACTCCAATAGGTACTCTTAAAGGTGTTTCTGTATAAACTGAAATAAAATTTGATGTTACAAGCAAAACAATGAGTAATAGCTCATCTATGCCATAGATGAAAAGTTAGATTGTCTCCTTCATCTTTTAAAACATGTTTTGATTTTTTACCTTTTTTTTCCAGCAAAGCTTTGAGATACTGACTGAAGATGATGCATCCTTTATCCTAAAGGTTACACAAACTCTTACGAATGCATTGGTGGAATATCGGCAACAGGGTGCACCAACAAATGTAATTTTCTATATTTTAGTAAATGATTGAATCTGTCTTGACTTCTGTGGCCTATAAAGAGTACAGATCAAGTATTCATACTGGAACAGAATGGACATGGGTGCAACCTCCAAGTTTTGTCCATTGAGATTTTGAAAGATTTATAGTGAAGATAGTATGAGAAAATCATAGCTTTTCCTGTACAGTTGTAACATTTTTGCTCCCATTCTGTTGCTGACTAGAGGTGCATGAAATATTCTAATAAAAGTTATGACAATTTGCCTGATTTGGGGGCCATTTTAAAAAAAGTATTTGAAATTTTGTGCTATATTTTCTTCACTATATCTTATTGAAAGTTCAAAATCCATTTTGGCTTAAAAGTTCATACCTTTGAGTGATACCGTTTGTGGTGCTTAAAAGCCACATGGGCTGGAGGATTAAGCATAGAGCTTGAAGCCAGAACATCCTAAATCCTGCTTCTGTCTTTTCAAGTGATTGGCCTTATTAGTGTGTTCTCATATAGTACTTTATACACACTATTAAGGCCCAGTCCTGCAAACATTTAATTATGTGCACAACATTACTCATGTGAGTAATTCCACTGACTCCTGTGGCACTATTTGCATGAGTAAAGTTACACATGTAATTAAGTATTTGCAGGATTGGGTGTAGGTTGGTAAATATATAATTATCCTCATTTTCTTGTCTGTGTCAAAAGCAGGAATAAGAACAGGAGTACTTGTGGCACCTTAGAGACTAACAAATTTATTTCAGCATAAGTTTTTGTGGGCTACAGCCCACTTCTTCAGATGCAATAAAACTGTGATCTTTTGGGCCTCCATCCTGTGTCTAATACATTTGGAAAATTGGGAAACATAAATTTCCAATAGTATATAAAGCTTTTGCTTTGCAGACTGGTGGTTTATGGAGATATAGGCTCTTTAGTGTGTTTTTTTGGACTAGCACATAGTGCCTTTTTGTCACTGGACTGGGACTTAATTAGAGCAAATGTTCTGTCCCTAAAAATTTTACTTGCTACTAACTCTAGCATAACAAGTTTTTTAGATGTATGTTTTTGGAAACTGTTATTTATTTAATCAGTCAGTGTGGAATTTGGTTTTTTTGGTGAAGATACTGTTCCTATTTCTTCTCTCCGGAAGTGTTCTACAGACCTAATTTTAAGAGTTGATTGTTTAAAAAACTTGAAAGAAGTTATGCATGCAATTTTTTAAAATTTTTAGGACTCTTTAGATTCTGAACCAAATCAAGAAAAAACAATTGAACATTCAACAGAACAATCTGATGCGACTTCGGTGGATATTAGTGACGCTAAGACTGGTAAAGTTTTAAGAATTTAAGACTCCATTTCTTTAAATATATTTTAACCCTAATATTGAGTTGTGTGAAAACGTGTAGTATTTTTTTCTGCTTCACTGCAGCAGAGTTTCAAAATGATCAAGTTCAAGTAATTTAGATTAATGGGCTTCTTTCTCTACAGATATAGGAAGGCATATCGACCAATCAGAAAATAAAGGCTATTCACCCAATACATTTAAATGTAGAAATTTATAGGACTTTTAAAATTCATGGCTCATTAGATTGTTCCACTGGAAATGAATGGGAGATTTCTGTGTTTCCTGCAAGCACATGCTAGTCTTTAAATGGACATCAATGTATGCAGTCTGAACATTTGCAACCTAAAATGTTCTAGCTCTTGTTGAATTGATAGAGGCTAATTATTTTAAAAAATTAATGTGCTCAGAAAAGTCTTTATTCCCAAAGAAAGAATGAAAGTTCTGAAGTCTTAAAACTTGAATCGAATTAGGAGAAAAGTATGTTTTAAAAAGAAGATGATCTCCAGCATCTAAATGTGCCAGTTTGGAGAGAGGGAAGTATGATTGCACTTCCAGGAGGACTGATGAGGCTGGGTCATTGCATGCAAGCAAACAAGTCCATGATTTTTGGTGCCTTATTCCTGATTTAAGAGGGTTTCGTAGTCAGTCTTTTTTTCCCTTCCTCCTCCTCTCCCCCTTGAAGAGGAACAGACTAGACTCAGATCCAGTCTACTCCCAGAAATTGCAGAGTTAACTAAATTGATTTCTTGGCCAGCTAAGTTAAATGATTGCAACCCCCCCTTTATCCAGCAACTGAACACTTTGCAGCTTCTTAGCCTCTGTGGTTCTGCTCCTGATGTATTAGAACAAGAAACTTACATCTCTCTAGGGAAGGAGTTCATTCTTGGGACTAACAGATTCTGTTTTAGTCATACCATCTGGTTTTATGGGGAACACACTCCCCTGCCAGTAAGTAAAAATATCCAGAAATTCCAGTGCACCTCCTTTGTCTGTAACTTTTTGATAAGGTGACAATATTTCCTAAGAAGCATAGCATCTTAAAATTTCACTTAATATGCCATTAGTGAAACTTGGAATTACCTGCAGTGTATGAAGTTTTGGAACTATGGTCTTTTTTGTATACATAGTGGAAGTAACTTTTTTTTCCTTGCAGGGTTTTCAGCAAATTATATGTCAGACAGGAGGCAGCATCCTGCCCAACAACCATATGACAGCACAGCAGCAAAGTCTAATGTTAGTGGAACATTCATGAAAAAGGATTCACCATCAGTGAACTTTTCAAAAAACAATGCTACAGATTGGAAACGTGGGACTTTTCAATCCACGTTTAGAGTATTAAGTAATGAAGAGTCCTTAGAGTCTGCTTCTGCTACTGAAGAGCAGTGTCCCTCCTCTTCTCAAAACATGTCTAATAAAAAGTTTTTATCTGCTACTGAGAGAGATGCACCCCAAAACTCTTTACCTGACTCTTTGAGAACATCATATGAAAACGATGTCACTACTGAATTTTTCAATAGTGTAAGAAATATGGATGCTGCTGAGGTTACGGCTACTCTACAGAAAATAGCAGCCACAAATCCAGCCTTCAGAGGTAATCTGCTTGCATATGTATACCTTAATTTTGTTTGTAGTAAATTTTTTTTAAATGATGTTGTTGAAGGGGAGCAGAGCTCTACAGATAAAGTGTATTTTGTGGATTTATAAGGACAGAAGTTGATGAGACAATATTGTCTTCTCTTAGTTCTTAATATTTTCAACTTGCCACTTCATCAGGACCCACACTCTTTCTTAGGGATGAAGGTCTAAATGCTTGTTCTCCTCTGAAGATGTCATATGTATCTTAATTTTTATTGCCTTTCGGTATTTTCCTGTTAGCTCTTAGTAATGTTTACAAGTTTTTCCTATCATGAAGATTCAATTGACTAAAATCAAGCATGCCTTCTTGAAAGAAGAGGGTGAATCTAGGACCTGTATGGTGGTTAGTATGATGTTGTTTTTAGGGTTTGAGATTTATGGCATGTAAGAAGCCTTTGCTTGTACAATTCTTAGGAACATGTATACTCATACTCAGTAATGTTCTCAGTAAACAGCTCTTAATCAGGAGACAAGTAATTTCATATCTTACTATAAGCTCCTGATAAGAGTCCCAGCTTCTGAACTCTCCCATATCTCTATATCCAACTCTTCTGCTATCCTCCCCCTGACAAGCAGCTTATCCTCATTTCTAAGCCTCAAACACACAATTTCTGTGTGCACCTGGAAATTTGGTACCATTCTGATCATTAAGACTCCTGAGATAATTCTAATAATATATATAAATTTGTTTCATTTAGTATGAAATCCTCCAAAACTCATGAAAATGTCCAGATGTTTCATTAGTACATTTTTGTTTGTTTTAAAATAATGATTATTAGAAAAACCTTATCAGCAAATCACTCATTTTCTCTTCTCCCTTTTTATTAAAGGTATTGACATTCCAAATGTGATAAGGATCTTGACTGAAAGTGGGACTCTTAGAGCACCAAACAGCAACAGTGTGCAGTGATAAAGGAAAACAAGAAGTGAAATTAATATTGTAATGTGTAAACTGAAAATTTGTCACTTGTATGCAATTAATTTCAGTGTATTCAAACTCTGTACAGTGTTACTTGTTATATCTCCAGAGTAATAGTTCGAATTTGCAGATTTGTGTGTTATATTTATTTCTCCCAATAGCTGGAATTTCTGTATTTGTGTTGATTAAAAAAAATATTTTTTCTTTGTTAAAGATAATCACTTTTGAAAATTACCCCTAAAAATGGTTTAGCTATATCTAGGCTAGAAAGCTTTTGGGTTTTACATAGTGGAGGGCTGATCTTTTTTTCCTAATTCTTCAAAAAAATAACTGAAGAAAGGAATTGCATGGGTAGAGTAGAATATACAAGCTTGAACCTTCTAGGTCATTAGTTCAAATTTGACTCAAAATTATCTATATCCGAAAGATGCTTCCTTTTGCAGCTAATCTTTGGCCACTGGACCTGATCCAAAGCCCCCTTTTAGCTAAGAGAGAGACTCCCATTGACTTATGTGGGCTTTGGATCAGGCACTATCATGTGTGAAATAAGATTATAGTGTCAGTCTGGTTCCTGGTTGAGGTGTCCAAATTGCATGAAACCCATCAGTATTGGAAACTTAATTGGAAGACTCAACAAACAGGCCAGAGATTGAAGTGTGTCTCCAAGGGATTTAGTCAGATCATGGTTGAGATACAATGCAGTGATTTTTATTTGCTCAGTGAGAAACGTATCCCAATGGTTATCGCTGCCTGCTGTGTCCTGCATAATATCTATGAAGCAAAGGGGGAGGATAGTTGCTGCTGGGATGGAGGGCGGAGGTGGAGCGGTGGTCTACCGAGTTTGAAGTGCTGTTAGAAGAGCTCTACACAGATCCATACAGCTCAGGGAGGCTTTGAAAAGAGCACTTTAACCAGGGCTTTGGAGCGGAGCCCGGAGCTGGAGCGCGGAGCAGTGGAGCTGCAGGTTTTTGCCTGGAGCTGGAGCGGAGCTGGAGCACAGCTCCAAAGCCCTGATATCAGTGAGCCACAGTAATGTGTTGTGGTGTACTGAGCTGTAGCTGGCTCTGCAGTTTGGGGGCTTGTTAGGAATTTTGTGGTGCTTGCTATACATTTATGATTATTACACTGTTTGCCACTGATACTTATGAGTTGTGTCCAAATAGTTATTGTAGAAGTGCTTTCACTAGCACTAGGCATTCTGCAACACAGGTTGGGAACTAATAAAGATGATTTATTTTCCAAACAATTAGTTTAATTGACTAACGAAAACACTTCAAAAAATTTGTGTGCAAGCTAAAAGCAAAACCATACATTTAAGCTTTTAATATTAACAGAGCTTAAAGGGGAAGGAACATTCGTGTCTATTTTAGCTACACATACATCAACCATGGCTTTCATGGGTTTGTGTATGAGAAGCTGTGATTGTCCTTAATGTCCCCAAGGGTGGAGAGGTAGGGTTAGGGATGTGGACCCTGATGCCAAGTGGAGTATTGGCTTGGAAAGTGTAGGGAGGTGCTATACTGGAATTCTCCATGGACTGCAAAGGGGGTGAGCTGGGATTGTTGAACATGTAGGTCTGCAAGAGTCTGCAGCATCTGTTTTTGCTGCCAGAGAAGCCCCATTATGTCCTGGTGCATCTCCCTCTCCTATTCCTGCTGAGACTCCTGGCCCTTGCTCCTGTCCTCTCTTTCCTTCTCCATACAATCTGCAATATTCATCCTCCAGGCCCTCTGTGCAAGGTCTGATGCAACACTGGCTTACAAGATCTTGATCAACATGTCATTCTGAGTCCACATCTTTCAGGCATTCCCTGGCTGCAATGGTAGCAGCTTCAGATAAAACACACAGAGAGACCATTATTAAGGTTAAGATTTTGTTATGGTTATTTTTGGTAAAAGTCACAGAGAAGTCTCAGGCAATAAACAAAAAATCACGGGAGCCATGACCTGTCCGTGACTTTTACTAAAAACAGGGGCAAGAGGGTTGGGGGGGGGGGAATGACAGCTAGAGCCCCATATGAGGGGACTGAGAGCCCGAGCCCCACTGTGGGGAGTGGGGGAACACAGCCAGGTTCCTGCTGCAGCTCTGGCCGCAGCCTTGAGGGGCACGCAGCTCTGGCTGAAGCCACGGGGTGGGGGCGCACAGCCCTGGCTCCAGCTGCAAGGGAGATGCGCTTAGTTTTCACAGACAACACTGTGGTAATATTTTACTTCCAACGGGCTAGGTGGAGCCCAATCTCTCCCACTCTTCTAAGAGGTGACTTGTCTTTCGGAATTCTGTACTGCCAATTTGGTGGATCTTGAAGCATCTAACCTTCTGGGGGTGCAGAATGGTTTTGCAGACCCCCGCGGCAGATCATTACGAGTCACCACAAATGGTCGCTTCACCTAGATGTGACCAGACGCATCTTCCAATGGTGGGTGTCTCCCCAAGTAGACCTATTTGCAACAAGAACCAGCAGAAAATGTCAGTGATTCTGTTCCCTGCAAGGTCGCAGCCAGGGTTTGCTGACAGATGTGTTCTTGTTTCCCTGGTCAGACAGGCTCCTCTGTACTTTCCTGCCAATTCCACTCATTCACAAAGTCTTGCTGAAGATCAGACAGGACCACATCAGAGTCCTATTCATAACTCCAGTGTGGGCCCACCAACACTGGTTCTCCACACTCATGAATCTGTCAATGAAACCTCCAATTTTGCTTCCAGTGGTCTTGGACTTAATTTCACAAGGCCACGATTTGGCTGCTTCACCTGAACCTCCAAGAGCTTCATTTAACCACATGGATGCTCCATGGTTAGATGGTAGAGAGCAGTCTTGTTCAAAAGAGGTGTAGGATGTCCTGCTAAATTGTAGAAAGCCATCCATGAGAGCTACTTGCCTTTCTAAGCGGAGACATTTTTCCATCTGGTCATGTCATTCAGGGATTTTGCTGACCTACTTCTTGATCCCACACATACTAGAATATCTACTATACCTGAAAGGTCAAGCGTTGGCCATTTGTTCTGCCAGAGTACACCTAGCAGCTGTTTCTGCATTCCAGCCTAAGGTGGATAATCAATCTGAGTTTTCTAATGACAGATCAATAAGATTTCTGAAAGACCTAGACAAATTATATCCTCAAGTGCACAATCCAGTTCCCCAGTGGACCTCAACTTAGTGTTATCAAGACCAATAGCTCCGCCATTTGAGTCTTTGTCTACTTGATTGCTGTTACATCTATCAATTAAGGTGATGTTGTTGATAGCCATCACTTCTGCTAAAAGAGTAGGAGAGCTTTGTGTGCTAATGCCTTGGCCTTCCTATACAATCTTCTTTAAGGACTGGGTCTACCTACACCCTTATCTGAGGTTTGTCCCAAAGGTGGTGTCTATGTTTCATGGTAGCCCGCCAGTATACTTACCTACTTTATTCCTGAAACCATAGGCAGGTCCATCAGATCCATTTGCAGCTCAGACAGTGGTGCCTGATAACTTTGTCTGAATAAGAGGATGAGAAGTTAGCTCATCTTTTTGAGCAGGGTCAAGTGGATGGAGAATTTGAACTTGATTTCTTATCTGATGAACATGTGAGAATTGCTACTACGTCATCTGCTTCTGAGGATGCTTTGCAGTTCCATGAATTAGTGGATCATGTGGCATCCACTCTGAACTGACCTTCAGTTGCTGAGGAAGAGGCATCACAACCTGTGTTTAACATTCTTGGTGCTCCTTCCAGGAATACGGTATCTTTACTTATGCTTAGGGCCCTACCAAATTCACAGCCATTAAAAATGCATCATGGACTGTGAAATCTGGTTTCTCCCCGTGAAATCTGGTCTTTTGAGTTCTTTTACCCTATACTATAGAGATTTCATGGTGGGGAGACCAGCGTTTCTCAAATTGGGGGGTCCTGACCCAAAAGGGAGTTTCGGGGGGGGTCACAAGGTTATTTTAGGAGGGGTGGCAGTATTGCCACCCTTCTGCGCTGCCTTCAGAGCTGGGGAGCTGGAGAGCGGCGGCTATTGGCCGGGCGCTCATTGGCCAGGCGCCCAGCGCTGAAGGCAGCATCCTGCCAGCTGTAGCACAGAAGTAAGGGTTGCAATACCATATTATGCCACCGTTACTTCTGCGCTGCTGCTGGCGACGGCTCTGCCTTCAGAGCTGGGCTCCCAGCCAGCAGCCACCACTCTCTAGCTGTGCTGCTCTGAAGGCAGCGCCGCCAGCAGCTGAGAAGTAAGGGTGGCAGTACTGCAATCCCCCCCTCCAGTAATCTTTCAACCCTCCCCACAACTCCTTTTTGGGGCAGGACCCCTACAATTACAGCACTGAAAATTTGGATTTAAATAGCTGAAATCATGAAATTTACGATTTTTAAAATCCTATGACCGTGAAATTTGATAGAGCCCTACCTATGCAGAATGTTTTTTTGTAACTTGCTAAAACTGTTAGATTGACAAGAAGCTGGAATAATCCAATTTCTAAGGAAGCAGACAAACGTTATCATATACCTTATGAGGGGGTTTTGTATTGTCATACTCACCCCAAGCCAAATTCTCCATTGGTTGCTGAAGCCAGTAATAGGTTCAGGTCTGGTCAAGTCCATTTGACTCCTGTGGACAGAGAAGGGAAGAAATTTGATGTTCTTCTCTTCCTCTAGTGATTAGAGTGGCTAATTACAAGCCAGTGATGGCCCATTACCAATTCCATCTGTGGGAGAAGATGGCTTTGTTGGTGCAAGAGCTACCAGATGATCAAAGGAGATTGTCAATGTGATTTTTTTAAGTGAGGGTCAAAATGTGGAAAAGTATGCTCTCGGAACTTCTTTTGATATCACTGCTCTACAGCCAAAATGCTTCTGAAATAAATGTAGTCAAACTTTACTAATTCTGGGTCACTGAGAACGAAAATGATGCTTAAAATTGTTGATTGGCTCTAGTTTTCAAGATATGCTATTGGGTCAGTATATACGACCCTTGACTTGGGAATGGCGGAGGATAAGTGAGTTATAAAGGGAAGGGAGCTCAATTTAAACCAGAAATGACTAAAATACATCTTTGACTGGATCTATGAATAAATCTATGACTGGGTATGGACAGTACTTGCTTTTTAGGCAAAACAATGAATGATGCAATCTGAAGCTGGTATTGCGTCATACATTATATGAATTGCATCATGTTATTCCTAGAAGTCATGGATGATGCAATCATAACAAAGCTTACATCACTCTG